CTCCGTCACACCAAACATTCTCTCCCTTTCAGCCGTGGGGGCGTTTTAATGTGACGGTCAATCACACTATTCGTTGGTAAAAGAGTAGCCCAAGAGTTGGCGGTGGGTGGTGATGACTAGCTGCCTTCCCTCTAGTCTTACACTGCTAAATTAGGGACGTCTAGCGCAGATAGCCCTCGTGTAGCTTTGCGCGAAATTAAAAAAACAAAAAAAACAAGGTTACTAGGTCATGTATTAATATGTGCGCGTTCTACTGGCTGCATTGTTTGCTTATTTTATATGGGTTTAAAGCCTGCCCTCTATAGGTCGCGTCGTTTGTTTTATACGAACCTAGGATTTTAGTATTATAAGTCCTCAAGCTTACTGTTTTCCCCAATATTTGATTGCCCCCATTATAAATTTGGTAGAAAATTTATTATTTTAGTATTATCATATTCATGCCCCTGGTGACTCAGCGATTCACTTAAATCTATAAAATAAGATTTCATTACCATCTTAATCTCGAATATCCATGAAAACCCAGTTTAAGAGCTATAGTTTTATTTATCAAACATTATGATCTTGTAAAGTAATTCAACCCCTATATTAGTATAAAATTACAAAGCAAAACGAAACCAATCAATGTTTTTATTGTTGTTTGTTTTACATTATCTATCTAAAAATAAAATTGCTAATAGGTCCTGCGTAGGTGTGCGTAGGCGTATTTAAAGTATTCGATTAATAAGAATCAATTTATCCGTTGTAGAGATCCCTTTCACGACCGCGCTCCGTTTTCTTGTCTGAAAAATATGAAAGCACAAACAAAAGTTAATAAGTTACGGTTTTCTTTTTTCAATATCTTTTTTTTCCAACTGTGTTTCAAGGGAAAGTATCAGGTTTGACTTTGTTTAGGATCCAATATTCCAATTACAAAGACTGATCCGGAATAAAAATTCATGTAAAAATTATAAACGGTTTACTTGTTTGACAGAGTTTTTCACGATTTTGACTAAAGAAACTGCTGTAGTTTGAAACATTATTTCATATGAAATTTTTTTGCAGTTAATTCGAGATATTCATCTACTTCTTGGCATTTATATTATTTTTTCCCTCATATTTCTTCCAACAGGAAAAGTTTTAAATTTTCCTTGACAATAAACTTAATTGAATATATATATATATATTCCTTTTTCGAAAATAATTTTTTACTATTTCGTTTTACAAGAATTTACCTTTTTGTTTAAGAACAGGCATGGCCAAGTGTTCATCAAGCCAGGCTGTGGGTCAGAAGGTCCAAAGTACGTACTGCGATGCCGCTAACACGCACCGCATTTTTAGCTGTGGGATCGTTATATGAATGATGGTCAATCATGTTATTCGGTTCAAAGTTGAAAAAAAAAAGTGCTTGTGGCGATGGGCGCTGCCTTCCCCCTGGTCAGTAGTTCGAAATTAGGGACAGCTAAATCTGAACCCATGGGCCGTTTAGCTCATGTGTCCCATAAAGTGATCTTTAGATTGAAAATACAAATACCTTCTTATTACTTAATTCTCCCTTTTTTTTTAAAAATGGGTTATTTCTAAAAGGTGTATAAGCTGGATGTGAACAGTACCAAAGGAACATATGGTTGCGTTAGCTGTTCTTGTCACCAACATTATACCCCCAAAGCGTAGGATGACCCACAAAATTAATATTCTTCACAAATTGTTTTTTTAACACATAATAAGGGGTGCTCATCCCCAGGAGAAGTCTCCCTCTAAATCTCGATGTGTGATGAATAGATTTCTTAACATTATTTGGAATAATGCGAATCCATGTACATTATGCTGTAAACAAAAATGTTGGAACTACTGTAAACAGTAATTACAGGTGTGGTAAGAGTTCCATCCCGTTCCTTCTCATCCATTAAAACAAACACATCAATACTAACCAATCAATCAATATCTTATTTCTATATAATTTTCAATGAGGTCAACAATGATATCTGAAAGGGAAGAAGGAAGGATTGCACCCCCTTTCCAATACTAAAACCATATGTATTTAGATGTAATATGGCGAAGAAAAGTGAAATAAAGCTTCCGGTAGTTTTTACAGTTTCACCTCCACATTTGTTTTCGACTAAATTCCACGTCCTTCTTTTCCTCCAAGAGTTTGTTTCTTAATTATGTACACAGCTACACAAGGGCTATCTGTGCTCTGCCCACCACGGGTATCGAAACCCGGTTTCTAGCGTTGTAAGTCCGCAGACATACCGCTGTGCCACTGGGGGGTAAGCTCCCTCTGAGGGCACTAGTGTTCATAACAGCTCTTGGTAAGCCCTCTGAGAGCACTAGTGTTCATAACAAATATGCAATAGTTTAGAAAACAGAACAGTTCAACTCTGTATACCATCGTGGAAAATGTATTTATAAAATGTGATGTTTAATAATTTTGTTCTTTTTGATGCTATTAGGAATTAATTATCAACAAAGTTCTCTTCTTGTTTATGGACCTCGAATATAATCAGAATAGAAATACGTTGTTTAACTAGTTAAACAATAAGAATTTAGTGAAAGATTGATATAAATTAATTAATATTACTTAAAAACAACAAAATGAAACTAATTGTAAGAAATTTTAGAAATTAAAAAAACAAACAAACTTATATCAAAACGTGAATGTATTGAAGAAATATACTTAGCAGATATAAGTAATTCGCTGTTAGGCTTGTTTGATGAAAAAAGACCACTTTTGGCTCAGTGGTAAGTCTTAAGGCATATAACGCTAAAAGCAGATGGCCCATTGTGTAGCTTTGTGCTTAGCAACAAACTATTTAGGCCTTGAATGGCCTGATGGTTAGAGGGCGCTTGACTCGCAATCTGCGAGTCGCGGGTTCGAATCCCCGTACTACCAAACATACTCACCCTTTCAGCTGTGGGCGCGTTATAATGTGTGGTCAACCCCACTGCTCGTTGGTAGAAGAGTAGCCCAAGAGTTGGCGGTGGAGGATGTTAATAGCTGCTTTCCCTCTAGTCTATCTCTGCTAAATTAGGAACAATTAGCACAGATAGCCCTCGAGTAGCCTTGCGCAAAAATTAAAAGAAAAACAAACTGGTGTTTAAATTACTCACCATGGCGCAGAATTATATCATAAAAAGTAAAACATGGTGAAAAAAGAAAGACAAAATTGAAACACCTGAAAACCGTACAAAAAAGCTTGCACGTTTCATTTTTAATATTTAATCAATTAGTTTCATTGATGGGCTAAATACTGGAGAATTTACCAATCCTAAGTTTACGGTAAAAGCGCTTGACTGGCTTTGTACAATGCAAAGCAAGTGGGCTACCCTGATTGAGTCTAAGTATTATCTTATGGCTCACTGATAGAGTGAAAGGAAGGTTAACCAGTTCTGTACTTGAAATCCGAGTAAAATATACGTAAATAGTTCAGCTACAATAGACAAACTTACAAAACTACAGAACAATACGCAATAATACGGCGTTGGAAATAATTATGGAAACGGAAAAAGTAAGAAGAAATGGTATAAAAGGCAAATATATCGGGATTTCCAACCTCTTTATGGTATGAAAATGATAGTTTACATTTGTGCTTGGTTGTTATTGAATCTACCAAAAAAAGTGCCAAATCAGCACAAACCTATAATAAAGTATAGACAGTTATACCATGCCCAGTAGTAGTAGTGTTCCATTCATGATTTCCACGACTGAAATACCACACGAAAAGCGTATGGATATCAAAGTTTTGATTAGTTAACTAAAATCCATGCGAACAATTACAGCAAGACTCCTTGTTTCAATAGAATATTTATGTAAGACTCTGAAGCGGATACGCGAAACGAGAAATATTAATAATATAAGTGGTCAAGACAGAAAATCGAAACTCTTCAAAAGTGATGTTAAGGACCTCAGGGTATTTCTTTTATGAGATTGACGAAGGTTCGAGTACAGATCTTGTCAACGACTTTGTTGTAAATACAGGTATGGATTCAATTTTACCTCAAGAACAGCACGGTCTCAATGGACATCTAATTGCTCGAAAACCGCTGCTAAGAAGATGTACTCAAATCCAACGAGTGAGTAATCCAGGATCGATTTTATTTATTTTTTAACAGCGGAGGGGAAGAGGAGAACAGTATCATAGTCAATGTACAACATTGCAATAAAACATGGTGGGGATTTTGTACAAATTTGGGGCTGAATTTTAGCGGAAGGTGTCGGGGTCTAAAGACATTCTGAATGCAGACAAGTACAGGTACATTCTAACTCATCATTTCATTCCTTTGGGAACACAACTCATCGGTTGCGGATTAATCTTCCAGTAAGACAATTTGGGGCTGAATTTTAGCGGAAGGTGTCGGGGTCTAAAGACATTAGATGACATTCTGAATGCAGACAAGTACAGGTACATTCTAACTCATCATTTCATTCCTTTGGGAACACAACTCATCGGTTGCGGATTAATCTTCCAGTAAGACAATGATCATGAGCAGACACGTTCCTTCAGAATCTTGACGGTAAATATATATATATATATTCCAGAATTGCACAGTGATAAATTGTAGACAGCGGGAAAACAAGGTGAAATATTCTGGGGGTTCACGTACTAAATTTTATTATTTGCTTTTCTTTAGTATTTTCTGTGACAATGTTTTTTACCATTCATAAACGCGCCATCTAGTTGCTATTACTCGTTGTTTGTGACACTTGTGCGTGCATTGTTTGTGTGTGTTCCACAATTATTTCCATTACTGTATAATAACGTCGTGCTTCTAGAATATACTCTCAATGTACGTCTGAAATAGAGAAGGTCGAACTTACCAAAGCCCCTAGGTTATAGATTTCTTGAATTGCGATTTATTTGATCTTAAGATATTGATGAAATAGTAGGCAGAACTGTAATAACGCGTTCTTGGATATCAGCGAAAATGGAACATTACAGTAAATAGATCTAACAATAAAGGAGATCATTAAATAAAACACTGCTTTCTTATTTTCAATGTATAGTCTTATCAAGGATGCTTACTTCTCTGGGACATTGTACCGTATTGACAAGAGGCAAGAATGCATTGTAACTCGTTACCGAGACAGGAACAGTCATCGTCTTGTCGGCAAGGCTCGCCCTCCAGTCTTTCACAACTTTCCTAGAATAAAGAAATGAATGAAATGAAACACATAAATCAATATTAATACATTTATTTAAGATCAAAACTTTTTTTTAATGATGAGACTATAATTACCTTAAAAAACAACTTGCCCCTGTGATACTATATTTTTTAACTTTGATGATTATTAAAGTGAAACATATAATGCTTATTGCATTTATTAATAAATATGATATTTTATGACTGTTTCGTAGAAGGTGTGTTGAGACAGATAGCCAGATAAACGGGATACATATATCAAGTTCTTGAACATGACCTATCATTGTTTAAAAGCACGTTTTAGGTTCTACAACTGGTGTTGTAACCTGAATATGAACCTCCATTGTTTAAAAGTCCATCAAGGCTATCTAACTGACGTGATAACCTGAACACGACCCAGCATTAATTAAAAACCGTTTTAGGTTCTCCAACTGGCGTGGTAACCTCAACACGACCCAGCATTGTTTAAAAGTCCATCAAGGTTATCCAACTGACGTTGTTACCTAAACACGACCCAGCATTGTTTAAAAACCGTTTTAGGTTCTCCAACTGGCGTGTTAACCTAAAAATGACCCTCCATTGTTTAAAAGCTCTTCAAGTGTTTTATCAGTATGTTCTTTGTATTCAGTATGAAAACGATAAGTTTGTGAAATGTCTAATTGGTTTGTAAATAATTATCTTTAATTGCACCAATGTATGACTATTGGATATAGTCCTATATCAATGCCATTAAATAATTGAACAGAAAACGATTCTGTACTTCTGTTCTAGCTTATCTTATTTTTTTTTAATTATATTAAGTACTAATCAATAATTGCAAAAGTTTTAAAATATTTAGAGGGTGCTCTTATTTTACGATATATATGTATTGATATAATAGAACAGTGAAATTTGAAAATGGTGTTTAAAAACTGTTTATTTAAATGAGAAATATTCTAATAGTGATTTTTTGAGATGTTCAAATTTTGGTTTTGGTGCTTATGTTGAGCATTAATTAATATTATTATTTAATTCAAGGCCCGGCATGGTCAGGTGGTAAGGGCGCTCGACTCGCAATATGCGGGTCGCGGGTTCGAATCCCCGTCCCACCAAACATGCTCGCCCTTTCAGCTGTGGGGGCATTATAATGTAACGGTCAATCCCACTATTTGTTGGTAAAAGAGAAGCCCATGAGTTGTCGGTGGGTGGTGATGACTAGCTGTTTTTCCTGCTAAATTAGGGACGGCTAGCGCAGATAGTCCTCGTGTAGCTTTGGGCAAAATTCATAACAAAGAAACAAATTGAATTGAAACACGTTTTACTTACGAAAACACTCAGTATAAGTCACTAACAATATATATTTAAACATCGTGATTGGCAAACATGAATGTCAAAGCTATTTCAATTAGCGTAAAACGATAAATGATAAATTTCTCATAACACCCAGTTATTATCAACGCAAAACAAAATCACGAATAATAAAGGGGTGTTTTTGTTATCCATTATTAAACAAATGAATAAACATTTTTTTGTCATTTTAAATCAAATGCTAACAAATACACATGGTTTCATGCGTAAAGCCTTATCAATAAAGCCAGGCGTGGTCAAGAGGTTAAACTGGCAGATTGTGGATTGTGTGAATTATTCGTGTCCAGTTGAGGCAAAACAACAACAAAACTTGCGTTCCGCAATTTGGGGCGATGGGTGCGTTGTAAGAGCGACGGCGAAATCCTGCTGTTACAGTTGCTCGTTTTTTGTGAGTCCAATATAAGTACCAAAACTAACTTTAGCACCTCTGCTGGGAGCATTAATACACAATATTGTGTTTCCATAATTATTACCATTATTGTACATCTAACGTTTACAAGTACGTTACTTGGCATGCTTTATACGCAGTACATATAGTGTTAACTCTAATGTTTCCAAATTTAGGCCTAGCATGGTCTGGTAAGTAAGGCGCCGAACTTGCAATCTGTGAGTCACTGGATTAAAACCTGTCACTAACATTCTCGTTCTTTCAGCCATGGGGGAGGGGTGTTATAATACGATAAAGAGTATCCCAAGAGTTGTCGGTGGGTTATGTTGATTACCTGGCTTCCCTCTAGTCTATCGTTTCAAAATTAGGGACGGCTAGCGCAGTTAGGCCTCGAGTAGTCTTACATGAACATTTAACAAATAATCTTAAAATTTAATTCCTTGGTACGTAAAATGTGTTGTACCGATTACTATTTACACATTACAAATTTTATTTGCAGTTTGACAATTAGATGTGTTTAACGGACATAAAACCTTAAAAATATATTATAAGAAGTAATAGCATAAAATCTAAAATGGTATTTAATTGTTCGATGAATTCGTTATCAACTGAAGATTTAACTAAAACAAACAAATTCGTTCAAAGAATTATAGTATGAAAATAGGCTAATCAAGGGTCGTTTATAAAAGTACATTTTTAGCCAACATTTATATACTTTAGGTTAAAATAATTAAAACATAAGGGCCGAAACATACAATTGCGCTAAGGGAAACACAATAGACCCAGAAAAAGGACAGATACAAATAATGCAGATAATACAAAACTTTGCTATAAGACTTAAAACTATAGCAAATGTTATAGAGACTCCTATTCTTTAAGGAAAAATTCACTTACTTACTTAGTTATTTATAGTTTAGCCGAGTTTATTTTATTATTTGTTAATCCTCGGATAAAGTGCATGAAATGGTACAGAAAAAACAAAAACAAACAGCTTACGACATCAAAGAAATCAATAATCACGCAATGTTATCAGAATTGTGGAGTTTCAGAAATCAAACTTGATTACGCGTGTTCAAGAAGAGGATCACGTTTTCTGTAAAAACATAAAATTCTTTATTGCATGAAGTTATGGCTTATCATCATAACTTTCACAAAATATGCTCGAAACCTTTTTCTTTCCGAAAATGTTTTCCAGAAGTTGTTCGACTCACTCAATGAAAGATGGCCCGGCATGGCCAGGTGATTAAGGCACTCGACTCGCAATCTGAGGGTCGCGGGTTCGAATCCCTATCACACCAAACATGCTCGCCCTTTCAGCCGTGGGGGCGTTATAATGTGACGGTCAATCCCACTATTCGTTGGTAAAAAAGTAGCCCAAGAGTTGGCGGTGGGTGGTGATGACTAGCTGCCTTCCCTCTAGTCTTACACTGCTAAATTAGGGATGGCTAGCGCAGATAGCCTCGTGTAGCTTTGCGCG